ATATCACCACATTAATGCATTCAACCTCATCATAGTTTAATTTAACTTAATATAAAGTAGCAGTTAATAGCAAGACTAGAGCCGGGCACGGTGGCTCACGCCTGTAATCCCAGCACTTTGGGAGGCTGAAGCGGGTGGATCACGAGGTCAGGAGTTCAATACCAGCCTGACCAACATGGTGAAACCCCGTCTCTACTAAAAATACAAAAATTAGCTGGGTGTGGCAGCACATGCCTGTAATCCCAGCTACTCCAGAGGCTGAGGCAGGAGAATAGCTTGAAACCAGGAGGCGGAAGTTGCAGTGAGCTGAGATTGCACCACTGCATTCGACAGAGTGAGACTCTGTCTCAAAAAAATAAAAATAAATAAAAGGATGGATGGAAGCAGCAAACCACACTGCCATGTATGTACCTATGCAACAATCCTGCATGTTCTGCACATGTACTCCAGAACATAAAGTGCAATTAATATATATATAAATGCTAAAACAAAGCCAGTTAATTAATATATATGTAAGCGCTAAAGCAAAGCCAGTTAATGTACACAAACACACCTAGGTTTGTTGTATTTGTTTTGGAAATCTGGTAAATGCTGAACACTGTAAATTTCCATTTGTTATAGTCTAATTTGTTTTCCTGTTTTTCTGACTGTTTTGCCTATTATCTTAGACAACCCCTGTGCCAGTCCTTGATTCCTTACTTCTCCATGTGTTTCTTTTAGCTAGTCTACATGCCCCTTAGGTTCTCTTTTCCCCAAAACCCTGACTAGGAGTCAGCAGATTATTTCCCACACACATCTCACATTGTTATTTACCTTCTGCCAGTTAGGTTAATTCCATTTTTCAATGAATAACATGCAAGTAAAAGATTCTGAACTCAGCACTAAGAATGTCAAACCCTGCATAAAAGGCAATAATTGGCCAGGCGTGACGGCTCACACCTGGAATCCTAGCACTTTGAGAGACTGAGGCAGGTGGATCACCTGAGGTCAAGAGTTCAAGACCAGCCTGGCCAACATGGTAAAACCCTGTCTCTACTAAAAACACAAAAATTAGCTGGGCTTGGTGGCGCATGCCTGTAATCCTAGCTACTCGGGAGGCTGAGAAAGGAGAATTGCTTGAACCCAGGATGTGGAGATTGGTGAGCCAATACTGTGCCACTGCACTCCAGCCTGTGTGATGGGAGCAAGACTCCACGTCCAAGAAAAAAAAAAAAAAAGGCAGTAATTATAAAATGACCATCAGCAGCAGACTGATTCCCCAAAGCAGCATTGATGAGCACATGAATGTTTAGAAGGCAGTAAATAATTAAGCTACATACTTGGTAGGGTTTTTTTCCTTCTCTGAGCAAAGTTTTATACACACGCAAACAGAGTAACGAATGTGTGCACATCATACACATGCACCACATAACAACAGTTCAGTCAACAGACCACATATTCAATAGTCCCGATTATACCATATTTTTACTGTACCTCTTCTATGTTTAGATACACAATTACTTGCCATTGTGTTACAATTGCCTACAGTATTCATAACAGTAACATGCTGTATACAGATTTGCAGAGCAATAGACTATTCTATATAGCACAGGTGTGTAGTGGACTACAGCATCTGAGTTTGTGAAACACATTCTATAATGTTCAAGCAATGACAACTTCTCAGAAAGTACTCATGAAGTGACACATGAATGTCACACACATACACCCCTATACACCTTCAAACACACAAACTACAGTTACTAAGTAGGACAAATACTATGATTTCCTTAAGCAAGGGCAGTTATTCTTCAAACGGATCATTACTCTGACCTTCACACTGTACTAACTGTAAGACACACAATCTGAAATCAGAATTCATCTTAAAATTAGTGTTGGCCAAGTATCACGTCATATTTGGAATTGCTTGTAAATATGCAACCAGCATCAACATTTGCAGAACAGAGGTTAGAAACGTCGGAGGAAAACTCTGAAACAATCAGTAGTGGGCTCATCTTTTAACCTCTGAACACCAATTAACTAATAACGGGAAGAGGTACAGGAGCTAGAGAATCAGGACAGTCTACCAAAATTCCTAAAACTACAGTAAAAAATACAGGCTGGTTCTACAATTCACAAAATTGGCTCAAGAGCACAGCACCAATGGCTCTTAGTTTTTTTCTGAACTCTTTGAAGAAAGCACACCCTCCGCCCCCAACACTCTTCACGATACAGAAGTCAAAGAAGAAACACACTCTTAAGGCAAAGTAATTCAGGGGAGTTCTAAAAGTGAAAAATGTGGGAGGATACTTTCACCAATTTATTTCATTTATATTTTCCCTCTCATAGATGGTAGAAGAGTAGAATATAAGCCAAAAAAAGTATGTCTAAAAGCATAAGATAAATATTCTAAGTTTGTTTTTGAAATGGAGTCTCACCCTGTCACCCAGGCTGGAGTGCACTAGTGTGATCTCGGTTCACTGCAACCTCCACCTTCTGGGTTCCAGCGATTCTCATGCCTCAGCCTCCCGAGCAGCTGGGACTGCAGGCATGCGCCACCACACCCGGCTAATTTTTGTATTACTAGTAGAGATGGGATTTCACCATGTTGGCCAGGCTAGTCTTGAACTCCCAGCCTCAAGTGATCTGCCCGCCCCCACCTTCCAAATGCTGGGATTAGAGGCGTGAGCCACCGCACTCAGCCTAGTATCTTAATCAAGATTTTTCCTGTTTTATGCAGGTACACAAAATAACAAAACCTCCTATGTTTGATGGCACGTTATATTAAAATATTGTAACTGCAAAACGGAGAAGGCCTTTCAAAAAGTATACTACCAGAATCATAGACAATTTTAGGTTGGAAACAGTGGCTCTCGCCTGTAATCCCAGCACTTTGGGAGGCCAAGGCAAGCGGATCACCTGAGGTCAAGACCAGGCTGGCCAACATGGTAAAACCTCATCTCACAAAAAAAAAAACAATAATAATAATACAAAAATTAGCCGAGCACAATGGTGGGTGCCTGTAAACCCAGCTACTGGGGAGGCCAAGGCAGCAGGATTTGCTTGAACCTGGGAGGCAGAGGCTGCAGTGAGTCTAGATCATGCCGGTGCACTCCAGCCTGGCAACAGAGTGAGGCTGTCTCAAAAAAAGAAAATTATTCTAAGACCCATCACTCAGTTAAGAATCATGTATCAACAATAAGCACATGCAAAGATTCTCAACATCATTTGTCATAGAAAATTCAAATTATAACCGCAATGAGATACCACACATTCCCATCCAAATAGCTGAAACTAAAAAGGAACAAATCAAATACTAATTGTTGGCAAAGATATAGAGCGACTAGAAATCACAAACATTGCTAGTGAAAGTGCAGACTGGTACAACCCTTTTGAGGAATGATTATGGCAATTTCTAAAGTGAAACATCTATCTATATCCTATTATCAATTCCACTTCTAACACACCAAAAAGATGTTAAATACTTTAGAATATTCACAGCAGTTTAATTCAGAATAGCACAATGTTGAAAAATACACATCTGTTCAAAGAGTAAAATAGATAGTAACAGTATTACATTCATGTATATGTATCAATGAGAAAGAAACTGCTGCTTGATACAATAAATGATGAAGCACAGATTTACAGGACTGGTCTCTAGGTGAACTAAGGTGAACATGGTGGCGACCTTTGGTGGGCACGACATTGACCGGGAGAAAGGACAAGGGCGCCTGCAGGAAGGCATGGCGTGTTCCATATCTCCATCTTGTTCATAGTTACATGGGTGCATAACATGTTTTAACTTAAAAATATCATAGGCACAACTAATTTATGGTAACAGAAATGAGAAAATCTATTGCCTAAGATGGAGAGAATAGAAAACTGAATGCAAATGGGGCCTGAGGAAATTTCCTGAGTGATGGAAATGTTCTAAATCTCGAGTGGGATAGGTTACATGGTCAGACAAGGCAGTTAAAACTCATCAAAACAGTACACTTAACATCTGCTCATTTTATTGAAAAGTAAATTATACCTCAACTAAAAGAAAGTTTATAGAGTTATACATCTCAAAGTATGTACTCTACCTTACGTAAATTACAGTACAATTAAAAAATGGAAGAGCCCAAAACAGTCTGCTAAGAAATAACTCAAATATATATAAAAATATGCTCAATCTTATTCAAAATAAAAAAAAAAATTGGGAAAAAAATAACAAAAAAAAGAAATTAGAAAGACACTAAAGTAATATCTTCACTAGGAGATTAGCAAAGAGCAAAATATTTGGTAACACTATGTTGGCAAGAATGTGGGCAGAGACACACTGAGAGCAGGAATGGAAACTGGTTACAGCCTCTGTGAGGTCAGTCTGGCAGTCACTACCCTCATTACTTACAATGCACATATCCTTTGACCTAGCAATTCCAATCATTTATCATACAGATATCCTTTTATGCACAGGGAATGATACATGTACCAAGGTTATTCACTCAACAGACTGAGTGAATCTGAATATCCATCAGTGAAGAGACCAGTTAAACTATGGAGTACCCATACAGTAAAATGCCTTGTAGCCATTTAAAAGAAAAAAAGAAAGAAAGCTCTTTGTATAGATGTGAGATGTGAAATACAGAAGGTAAAAAGAGCAAAATACATCAAAGTGACTAGTACCTATTATTTGTGTTTAAAACAATACGAGAGAGGGTGTAAAGTATACACTTCGTTACTTTTATGTATATGAAGTATCTGTAAGGGTACAAAGAAAACTAATGACCGTGGCTGGCTCCAGGAAAATAACTTGGTGGTCAGGGGTAGGGGAGAAAATAGTTATGAGTTTTGAACAATGTGAATATATCACCTAGTCAACAAATCTTCTCTGAAGCAGTTACCAGCTTCAATTCCTGTGTATCACTTTCTATACATACTTGCAGAAATATGCAAAATGTATCCATTGTTTGTTATTACAATTAAACAGTAAAAAACCCAACACTTTTTGCCAAAGCACAAAAATATTTATCTTTACTCACCTCACACATATCCCCAATACATTCCTGAAAAGGAAATAATTTTCTTCAACCAGAGAATTCTTAGCAACAAATCAACAATAAAGAAGGCCGAGCAGATTATATGCCCTCCTTAACAGCAATCTTACACATGCATACACTCAGCAACATACCGTAGAACAACATAACATTTCAAAATTCTTGTTCCAGGGCTGAGGAAAATAGATTATTGTGGCTTGGTTAGGGCTGACTTGACATTAAAAACTGTTTCGGAAAAAATAAAAAAATAAAAACTGTTTCGGTTTAAAACCACCACAATGTTTGCTATCGAAGTATTCTTTCCTCCAAGGACCTTCAAATGGCCCCTAAATTGTTAAAACCTGAATGGCTTAATTTACACATCACTCCCTATTTTTACTTTTAACTTTTGAAGAAAAAAATTGAAAAAGATACAAATAAATGGAAAGATATCTCATGTTCGTGAACTGAAAGAATACTGTTAAAATGTTCATACTCCCCAAAGTGATCAGCAGTCGATGAAATCCCTATCAAAATTTCAGTGACATTTTTCACATCTTCTGGAGCTGGGCTAAACAGACATTATGAACTAGAAGACTCTGGTATCCCTATAAATTTTAAATACTCTACAGCATTGTAGGAAAAAATATATACTTACTTTAAAATACTGTAAAATATATTTTCATGTTTGTTGAAGATTTTTTTTTTGTGGTGGGGTAGAGAGTTTCACTCTGTTGCCAGGCTGGAGTGCAGTGGTGCGATCTCGGCTCATTGCAACCTCCACCACCTGGGTTCAAGCGATCCTCCTGCCCCAGCCTTCCAAGTAGCTGGGACTACAGGCATGCACCAGCACGTCTGGCGAATTTTTAGATGGTCTCGATCTCCTGACATCATAACCGGCCACCTCGGCCTCCCAAAGTGCTGAAATTACAGGCGTGAGCCACCACGCCCAGCTTATATTATTATTATTATTATTTTATTTATTTATATATATATATTTTTTTTTTTGAGATGGAATTTCGCTGTTGTTACCCAGGCTGGAGTGCAATGGCACGATCTTGGCTCACCACAACCTCCACCTCCTGGGTTCAAGCAATTCTCCTGCCTCAGCCTCCCGAGTAGCTGGGACTACAGGCACCATGCCCAGCTAATTTTTGTGTTTTTAGTAGAGACGGGGTTTCCTATTGTTGACCAGGATGGTCTCGATCTCTTGACCTTGTGATCCACCCGCCTCAGCCTCCCAAAGTGCTGGGATTATAGGCATGAGCCACTGCACCCAGCCTATTTTTTTAAAGACAGAGTTTTGCTCTTGTTGCTGAGGCCAGAGTGCAGTGGTGTGATCTCCGCTCACTGGAACCTCCGCCTCCCAGGTTTCAAGTGATTTTCCTGTCTTAGCTTCCCAAGTAGCTGAGATTACAGGTACACACCGCCATGTCTGGCTAACTTTTTGTATTTTAGTAGAGACAGAGTTTCACCATGTTACCCAGGCTGGTCTCAAACTCCTGAGCTCAGGCAATCCATCCGCCTCAGTTTTTTTTTTTTTTTTTTTTTTTTGATAAAAAAAAAAAAAAACTCCAGGAAGTAATAAGCAATTACAGTAAGCTTGCAGGATACAAGGTTAACATACAAAAGTCAATCGCTTTCCAATTTGAAGTGAAAAACACAAACCATTTATATTACACTTAGGCACAAATCTAACAAAGCATGGATAAGAGCTATATGAAGAAAACTTATCAAAGTCTGATGAAATAAAGAACTAAACAAAGAGAGAAATATTCCATTTCCTTGGACAGTGAAGACTCAATACTGTTCAATATGTATTGTCTTCCCAACTTGATCTGCAAATTCAACGCAGCCTCAATCAAAATCCCAGCAAATTTTGTGGATAGCAACAAACTAAGTCTTAAGTTCATATCAAGTTTTTTTTTAAGAAGAGAACAAACTGAAAGGACTTGCCCTACTTGACCTTAAGACTTCCCAAAAAGTTACAGTTATCGAGACAACATATTAGAGAAAGAATAGATCAAGGGAACAAAATAGCCCAGAATACATCTCTAGACAGAAAACTGATCTCTGACAAAGTAACAAAAGGAACACGATGGAGCAAAGTCTATTCAACAAACAGTGCTGGAACAAGTAAGCATCCACAGGCCAAAATCCAATCCAGACCCAGACCTCACACTCTTCACAAAAAGTAACTCAAAATGGATCATACAGCCAGGTTCAGTGGCTCACACCTGTAATCCCACCACTTTGGGAGGCCGAGTAGGAGGATCACTTGAGGCCAGGAATACAAGACCAGCCTGGGTAACATGGCGAAAACCTATCTCTACAAAAAATCAGCTCGGCATGGTGGTATGCCCCTGCAGACCCAGCTACCAGAAGGCTAAGGCGGGAGGACTGTTTGAGCCTGGAAGGCAGAGGGTGCAGGGAGCCAAAATCACCTAACTGTACTCCAGCCTAGGTAACAGAGCCAGACCCTATATAAAAAAAATGACTCATAGGCAAGACACAGTGGCTCACACCTTTAATCCCAGCACTCTGGGAGGCCAAGGTAGGTGGACTGCCTAAGCTTCGGAGTTTCAGACTAGCTCGGGCAACATGGAGAAACTCTCATCTCTAAAAATAACAACAACAATAATGAGATAAATAAAATATAATAAAGAAAAAATATAAAGAACTCTTAAAACTCACCAATAAGAAAACGTACAGGCCGGGCGCGGTGGCTCAAGCCTGAAATCCCAGCACTTTGGGAGGCCGAGGCGGGTGGATCACCAGGTCAAGAGATCGAGACCATCCTGGTCAACATGGTGAAACCCCGTCTCTACTAAAAATACAAAAAATTAGCTGGGCATGGTGGCGCGTGCCTGTAATCCCAGCTACTCAGGAGGCTGAGGCAGGAGAATTGCCTAAACCCAGGAGGCAGAGGTTGCAGTGAGCCGAGATCACGCCATTGCACTCCAGCCTGGGTAACAAGAGCGAAACTCCGTCTCAAAAAAAAAAAAAAAAAAAAAAGAAAGGAAGGAAGAAAACATACAACCCTATTTTTAAAATACACTAAGGGTATTTAACAGAAACCTTATTCAAAGAAGACATACATATGTAAATATGCATGTAAGAAGATGTTCCACATCATATCATGTTATGGCTTGGCTTTGTGTTCCCACCCAAAGTTCATCTCGAACAGTAATCCCCAGGTGTTGAGTGAGAGACCTCGTGGGAGGTGACAGGATCATGGGGGCAGCTTCCCCCCTGCTGTTCTCATGAATCTGATGGTTTTATATGGGACTCTTCCTCCTCTTCCTTCACACTCTCTTGCCTGCTGCCATGTTAGAAGTGCCTGCTTCCAGGCCTGGCGCGGTGGCCCACACCTGTAATTCTGGGCAGGAGAATCGCTTGAATCTGGGAGGCAAAGATTGCAGCGAGCCGAGACTGTGCCACTGTACTCCAGCCTCAGCTGTGTGACTCTGTCTCAATTTTAAAAAAAAAGGACAGACATGAACATACTGAACTTTTTCTCTCTACAAAGTTGTGTACATTTGCTGCTACAATAAAAATATACTTTAAAAAATAGCCAGGCACAGTGGCTCATGCCTGTAATCCCAGCACTTCAGGAGGCTAAGGTGGGTGGATCACCTGAGGTTGGGATTTCTAGACCAGCCTGACCAACATAGAGAAACCCCACCTCTACTAAAAAAAAACAACAACAAACTTAGCCAGGTGTGGTGGCACACACCTGTAATCCCAGCTACTCAGGAGGCTGAGGCAAAAGAATCACTTGAACCTGGGAGGCAGAGGTTGCAGTGACCCAAGATTGTACCCCTGCACTCCAGCCTAGGTAACAAGAGCAAAACTCCATCTCAAAAAAAAAAAAAAAGGACAAGAAAAATTAAGTATTAAAATAAAAAGCCAGTCACTTCTGAATTACATTTACTTATTAAACCTAAAAGCTGCATTATTTGTTTTACAACTATTTAAAGTATCCACTTCATTGAAATCTTTAGCCATTTTATTGTTTTCCGTAATAGAAAAATACAGATTTGAAGAGCGGGAACAAATGTTGGTTTGCCTGTCTTTGCCTTACCAATCAAATTACTCACTAGTCAGTCAATCATCTTAAACTAACTGATTAGCTTTTCTTTTCTTATTATTTAAAATTCTTAAATCCCTAAAGCTTGACTACATACTTACAAAAATGAAAACTCCATTTCAGTTGTTAAGGTAGAATAGTAATTACATGTTATTTTCTTAATGTCGTTCATTAATCAATAAAGTGGAGATTTATCACTTCAATATGTTCCAATGTCAGGAGACCAAATTCCACCGATACCAATTTCTTTAGACTTGAAATCTAGAATTTACACCTTTCGTAATCATTAGCCTAATATAATCACTTTGCAGCCACAAAAGTAGATAAACCTTTGAATTTTACCATCATTTCTGCTTTTTAGGAAGCACTATTTCATTATGTTAAGTTTCACGGTATAAAAACAATCAATTTACATTTCAGTTACTATCTCAAGAGTTCCAGGAGACACTAAAGAGTCAAAGCTAAGAAAAGCACGATCGGCCAGGCACGGTGGCTCACGCGGGTAATCCCAGCACTTTGGGAGGCTGAGGTGGTGGATCACCTCAGGTTCAGAGTTCAAGACCAGCCTGACCAACATGAAGAAACCCCATCCCTACTAAAAATACAAAAGTTGGTCGGGCATGGTTTCCCATGCCTGTAATCCCAGCTACTCAGGAGGCTGAAGCAGGAGAATCACTTGAACCTGAGAGGCGGAGGTTGTGGTGAGCTGAGATCACACCACTGCACTCCAGCCTGAGCAATAACAGCAAAAATCCATCTCAAAAAAAACAGGAAAGAAAAGAAAAGCATGATCATGGCAGATACACAGAATAAGAAACTATTCAAAATAATGCTACACATTAGAACATCTTGAAAACTATGCACTACATGTATACTAGGGCAATGGCACTATAAAACTACTGTTATAATTGGAGTTCAATAGAGAAATGACAAAGATCTCCAGTAACAGAGTAGTACAACTTTTCCAAAGGTAATACACAGGACAAATTGCACACATACCTGTATAAATGCTTCCCAAAACTAATCCTCACGCTTTCTTCACTGGTCAAAAAGTCAGCAGCTCTAAAGGATGTAACAGGGACAAAGACCAAACGTGCATGAGCACTGCCAACAAAAAAAAATCACTTGAAGAGATCCACAATGACTGCTTCCTTAAATCCTTCCACCCAGCTGACTCCCTTTATCACACCCAGTGGCTCCTAAATACTCCTTCTACCAGCAGTAGCAGCACCACCTGGGAAACTGCTAAAAATGCACATTCTCAGGTCCTAACCTAAGACCTGCTGAGTCAGAAATTAGGGGGCAGGGTTGAGCAGTCTGTTTTAAACAGCCCTCCAAGTGATTCTGATGCACACAAGTCTGAGAACCACTGTTCCACTGTCCCTAGTTAAGACTTTCACTTCTCACCTCTATCAAGACAATAGCCTCCTGAATCCCAATGCATTCTCCAAGGTACTGCCAGGATTATCTGATTACACTGCAGTCCCACTCAAATTCCTTCACTAGGTCCCTCAACTTTCCAAAGCTTGGCTTATCCACAAGCCTCATGACCTGGAATCCTGCCACCACTACCTCCAACTCCCACACCAACCATCCCACATACACACATACTTACCTCTACACCTAATTCATAGATTACTGTCCCTGGTGCTAACATTCCTCTTCTTGGAATGACCTTCTTCCCCCACCCCTCCACTCAACCCCGTATCTATCAATGAAGCCTGTGCTATGCTTACCGAGTTCTTATTTCCTGTTGACATACAGCACAGGGCCTGGCATGTAATAGGCACTCACTGAAATCAAATGGGGGCAGGGAAAAAAAATCTTTCTCACATCTACATTCTAAAGTCCTTAA